ATTATCGGTAATTCGCCAGTTTCACTGTGTAGTTTTCGCTGAATGGAGAAATTATTTATGCGTTTAGTATTAATGTTAATTCTTTTCTTCAATCTTATTCTAGGTATGTTGTATTATCTACGTGTACTATGGGAGCTTCCTCGGCGTCGTAGTGCTTGTCAGTTGGAGTACTTGTAAAATGAATATCGACTAAGTTGTCGTAAATGTTTGCATACTAGATTTGGTCTCCCAAAGAGTATTGACCCACAATGCTTGTACTTGATGCCTTCTACTCTTTGATGTAGAATATGCTTGAATGCCCATAATGTTCTTGAAAATTATTTCGTCAACCACTGCACGCTATTTCTCGTTGTGTCCAAGTTACGTTTGAGTACATTTTGGTGGCAATTGTGGAACTCTAACTTAATGTGATAAATTCTCAGCAATAATTCTCAAATATGAGACCCTACATCGTTATTCACTAACGAGGCAGATCTATTGCTCCCAATGGCGAAATCTAAGTCTGCGTTAACAATGGCGTTCAATATCGCTATTTCGATGATCAGAGGCATCAATTCCCCGCTACTGTTGCTGTATATCAGCTTTCTGCATTCAAATTGAATTCGCCTACTGCGAAGTTCAGTAGGTCTCTCATATATATACGCAGATGACCCTATACAGGCATATGGGGTTTCGTTACTGATCCGAGACACCAATAGATCACCAACTCGGCCAAATCCATCTATCAAAGCAGCAGCGAAGAAGACTTAATATACTAGTATAAGTATATAAGTAATCTAACACTCGAAATGGTGTAAAGAATCAAGGTATAAGATGATCATTTCATTGCTAAGCTACAGTCTAGAAATTCCATGAGAATACGTTGAGATCCGTAGTCTGTCAATAGTAATCATGCGTAAGGGCTATTAATCATTAGTGATCTCATTTGATGATTTGTGATCTCATTTCCTGATTAGTGATCTCAAGCTAGCCTCTAGTTATGGAGTGGAGCTTTACGCCTCTCAAATTACCATTGGGACTTTATTCTCGACGAGCAACACAAAAATAAATACCATTTGTCAACATGCAGCCCAATTATTCGTAAAGGGGAACGGACCGCAGACAAGTTTGACATGCAAGCTCGGAATAAAGATAAATACAATGCCGGATTAAGGAATAACCCTATCAAAAACCGAAGGATCCCGTGGTTTTATAACACGACCTTCGAAATATATCCGCCAAAACGCAAATAAGAGCAACCCCTCCCCAAGTTTACCATGAATACCGAAAGCCCTGCGCCGTCGAGTCTTTTTGTTTCGAGCCCGAATTCTACAACGGACGAAGAACGCCAAATGGATATTAAGTCATCCAAAGCTTCGCCGTCTGCTGCGATTAATACCGAGGAGGAGACTCAAGATGAAAGAGCACAGGAGCAAAAGAAATCTTTCAAATTCAAAGTCACTGTCTTTATGCTCTGCGTAACTTCAGTCTCCGTTGCAATGGACTCCGTTATTGTCGCTGCGACTTTAGCTGCCATCACATCTTCGTTAAAAGGCAATAGCTTGGAAGCCTTTTGGGTGGGAACGTCATATTTATTAGCCCAGACAGTCAGTTTATCTACTCCTTTGGTATACAGTTTTCTCACATCACCTAAACTTAGGTCGCAGTACCTATTTATGGTACTATTTCAGACATTTTGTAAGACTTCTCGTTCACTGCCTAGAGTACTATTATGCTAACAGATACCTTAGCGGTCGGAAGTGGGTTATGGTGTTTGCGATCGCGATATTTCTTCTTGGAAGTGTTCTTTGTGGTTGTGCTCAGAACATGAATTGGCTGGTGGCTGCGAGGGTAGTTCAAGGCCTTGGAGGGGGTGGCTGCCTGACCCTGACGACAGTCATTCTCAGCGATATCACGACGCTCCGGGAGAGACCGAAATATCTTTCCATGGGTGCCTTTGCGTGGGCTTTAGGTACCAATATCGGGGTACGACACTCTCCGGCCTGTTGAGGCTACTGGCAAAATCTCTGCAAATGCTAACAGTCAATTTGACAGGTGCCTGTTGGTGGAGCAATAGGACAATATACGTCTTGGCGCTGGGTGTTTTGGATAAACATCCCTATTTGCATTCCCAGTATTGCTGGTATTGTATACGCACTACATCTTGTACGGGACAAGTCTTCTTTTAAATCAAAGGCCGCCCGTGTGGATTACTTGGGAATCACCGTGTTTATCGCTGCCACGACACTATTACTCTACGGCATCACTACTGGAGGCACTACAAATCCGTGGAATTCCGCAAGCGTTTTGGCACCTTTAGCCCTTGGCATTTTTGGGCTTGGAATATTCCTTCTCATTGAGTGGAAAGCGACAAAAACGCCAATGGTGCCCCTACGTATCTTTAATAATCGCAGCGGCAACGCAGGTTTCTTTGGTGCATTTGTCCATGGCTTAGTACTATGGGCTTCCGCCTACTATATCATCATCTTTGTTGGTTCCCAATTATCTTGAATACAATTTATATACTAATCTAGCCTTTCAGTTCCTTGGCGCGAGAGGTGACCCTCTGTTCAAATCTTCGGCAGAAACGCTCCCGGGCAGGTAAGACGCTTTCCAACCGCACCAATTCCGGCTTAAGTTCACATACTAACTATAGAATCTTAGTGCCCCAATTGCTCTCTCAGCTGTATTTTGCGGCATATGGGTTTCTAGGTCACTTCGATTCCAGAAAATGACCTGGTTTGCCTGGGCGCTTCTTACCACTGGGACAGGGTTAGTCGCGCTCATGAAACCAAATTCATCCGCAGGTATTTTATACGCTATTCGCATTATTCCTGCCATTGGAGGAGGTTTCTTGTTCCAATTGCCTCTATTTGCTGTACAATCCACAGCTGCCGGCCAGGATATCGGCATTGCTACGTCAATGATCGCCTTTTTTCGCAGCGTAGGCCAGGCATTCGGGGTTGCTATTGGAGGGACAGTATTCCAAAACGAATTTGATCGCTTTCTGGCCACAGCGATTGCGGCGGATCGGATCCCATCAGATCTCGTTATCACGGGTGCTCAAGCTGCTGGCGCATATGAAACAATCAACGCATTTCCTCAAACTATGCAAGATGTGCAAGAAACATATCGATATATCTATGCGGATGCCTTGAGAACTGTCTGGTATGTCACTACAGGTATTGCTGGCATGGGCTTCCTGGTTGGGTTTTTGGTGAGAAATGAAAACATGGACCGGGGGAATTATTCAAAGCAATCCTTTCAAGTAGAGGAGAACAGAGAAAGGTCTTTGTAAAGATACCTAAAAGATTCACTGACTATAGATTTCTTACTATAAATCATTCAATGGAAGGGAAATAATCGAGGACTATTGGTTTAAGAGATGGACTTTCGGTGCAGACTCTCCTCAGCGTTTCTCAGTCGGTAATTTGGAAGACATCAATGGCCATATCTCATAGAATCATGGAATATAAGGTTATTGTTACATACGGAGTAGCAATAATCACCCTTTAACAGGCCCAGTGACCAGTGTAACCTACAGACAACGTGGTTGATCCTATGCGAGAGCTTCAGAACAGGGCTTAAGGTTGGGATACGCGGGAATTTTAGGGTGGCTGTTACTAGATTTTGAGAGCCATATCATCAATCGCGGTATTCCGCATCAAATGTAATAAGCAGGTAATTATACCGCGCAGGGTCGAGAATGATATGATGCAATTCAGTATGGGAAAGGGTAAAATCACGGACTTTATCGACCCGATAGTCACGACTGTACTAACAATGCAACACAAATTGTTTATGCCATAGTGAACCAGCCAGACGAAGCAAGTGCAGTAAATGCTGGTTTCAAAGCTTTCGGCCCATTAGACAGCTTCTCTCTTCTCTTTCCCAAAATCTGTAGGAATAATTCTTTATTCAGCAATTCGAATCGCTGGCCCTGCATATAGTATTGTGATTGACTTTTTAGCAAACCAAGACGCTCCTGCTATATTATTTTGTACTGATAAACCGCATAAATAGTCACTATAGAGGTCATGTGGCGTCGTACTTCGACCCAGCTGCTAATGTCAACATTAATGTTGCGGCGCCCATTCCTGTCGATCTACCCGCGGTTGAGTTTTTTTAGAGGGTCGCAGTATTATCGGTTCAGTGAATGTGACTCTGAACATAGGTACTGGATAGCCCTGGAGTTCTTGACACTAGAGATATTTCTTTTCCCTTTTATTTCAATCATCAGAACTATTTCTACAACGCCCCGGTAGATGAAATAACATCAAGATTCTGTAAATAGGTTTATATTCTACAATGCAAGCGATGTACTGGCTGGAGTGGCGTAACATTGTTTGCTAATAGCCGTTCTGGTATCCACCAATTTACTAATAAAATTGTGAAGACATATGCGAAGCTTGAATATTATGTTTTGAATATTATGTTAATTATATATCAGCAACTGGCTCTCTGAGTTAATAAATGATGGACGTGAAATGAACTTATGTACCGGTTGACCTGGATAAGATGTGAAGACTCGGCTTCTATGGATCTCAAATCCCGCCTGAACGCCTTCAATAATGTCAAAAGTGGGGGATCCCCGGATTGATTTGCTGCATTTATTAGAGGCGAGCTTCAGCTGAATGCTAATCTAACCCAATCCCCAGAAATTATATCAACGAGTTGGCACTAAAACGTCCATATTGGAACATTTATGCGGCGCCCCGTCACTGTGGAAATGGGATTGGCGGATTCCTTTTTTTTGGTGCCTGTCGCAACTAATTAGCAATGTCCAGAGTTTCAAGGTGGCATTTTGAATTTATGCTAACCCGGAAATATCGGGACAGCAATGCGACAATATAACGTCCGGGACAATTTCTCCAGCTCAGCTTTCATTCCTTGTCCCGCGAGAGCTAATGTAGTTCGCTAACGTATAATAATAAATAGTCAGCCCAATCCGCACTAAAAATCTTTTTGTTAAGCATATGAAGTTGTAAACTAGAAAATCTACAGCTCAGAGGATTCAAGGAATGACAACTCAACAACCCCTATCTTCGGCAAGCGGGCTCCAGAGCGGGCCTGAGCTTGGTAAATCCAATGACGATGACTGGGAAACAGGTCAGCTCTCAGCGCCAGAACAACGAGTTTGCAGCCCGGGATATAAGTGCCCAATTCGTGAGCGGTTGAAGCACTTTACTTGGGCTTGGTTTGCAGTCACCATAAGCACTGGTGTTCTCGGCCTTCTCTTCCATAACACGCCCAACCGCTTCGATGGGCTCAATGCTATTGGCAAAGTAACATTTATTCTTTCTATTGCCATGTTTCTTGTCTCTGTCGCCGCCATTACATATCGATTCATCAAGACACCCCGAGGATTAAGGACAAGCTTGCTGCATCCAACTGAAGGCTTGTTTTTCCCAGCATTTCTGTTAAGCCTGGCCATTATTCTCGCCAACTCAGCTATATACGGTATCCCGGCATCAGGCCCTTGGTTACCTGTAGCCCTGAGAGTATGCTTTTGGATCTACGCTGCTCTAGCTATCTCCTCATCTGTGATGCAATATACCATGGTCTTTAAGGGGGCTAAACTCAAGATCAAGTCAATGAGCCCCCTTTGGATATTTCCTATCTTTCCCACATTATTAACGGGGGTCCTGGCTTCCACAATTGCACCATCACAACCGCCTTCACAACGATTACCTATCCTTGTTGCGGGAGTTACCTACTTGGGCCTGGGATTTAGTGTTGCTTTTATCCTGTACGCATTATACCTCCATCGCCTGACGCAAGAGGGATTCCCGGCTCCTCCAATGCGTCCAGGAATGTTCATTGCAGTTGGGCCGCCAGGATTCACAGCGACGGGTCTCATAGGCCTCTCTAGATCTATCCCGGACGACTATGCCTATTTCGCTAGATTTCCTGCTGCATCGCAGGTATTAAAAGTTCTTGCGCTCTGGGTGGGCATTTGGTTATGGGCCTTGGCTTTCTGGTTCTTCGCCTTCAGTCTTATTGCGCTTCTGATGGGTGTAGCGAGGAAACGCATCCGCTTCTCCCTGGCTTGGTGGGCAATTGTCTTCCCCAACACAGCTTTTACAATTGCAACGTGTCTCATTGGAGAAGAGCTTGAAAGCGATGGTATTAAGGGCGTGGCAAGCGCCCTGACGGTGTTGATCGTAATTGCATGGTTAGTAGTGCTTGGTTCACATGTGCGTGCTGTCATACTGAGCAAGGTTTTATGGCCTGGCCGAGATGAAGATTTCGGACATTACACCCCTAACAAAGATAAATCAGCTGTAAGCCACTGATCGCAAGATTAGCCCTTTAATAAACATATGTTTGACTCTATCTTGAACAATACTACTCCACACCGGCATATTACATTCTGAACCATGATCAAACCCGTTATAGTAGATAACTCGACAGTTCCAAGCGCACACATCGATAACCTCGGCAACCTCGAACAGCAAATTCGGCTAATGCTAGCATGGTGCCAACAACCTCTAGCTAGGACACACACTCGAAGCGAATTCTTCTGCAAAATGTCATCAAATGATTTGCCCTCAGGTATTAACTGCACAGAAGGGCCTGTGTGATAGTAAGATTCGGGCTGCTGGCGCGGGTCAAAGATCATGGCAAAGTTGTGCACAGTCGCTTTTGGATACTCATAAGATAATAATAGCCGGTATTAACTGATTTCCCTTCCCTTATCTCTTGATGACTGTTTCCTCTCAGTTTACTTCGTTATAGAGCGTTTGCGGCCAGGTTCTAGCTTGAATGAAGTCGACAAAGTCAAACAAGCTCTTTTTATAACGCCTTTCTTGCGTTGTTCGATCCACAGTTTGCATTCCATAATGTGGCGTAAAGTCCCCAAATTCCCAATTGTCGACAAAACTCCACGCGATCACGCCTAGTACCTGCACACCATCCTCCCAGATGCTTTTCAGTATCTCACTCATGAAGCTCAAATAGTACTGGCTGCGAGGTGAATCGAAGAGCTGTTGTGGCAGTGGTAGTGAGGCTTCATTCTCGATAGGGAAGCCAAATTCGGTAATGATAATTGGAGAGCGATACGTGTTCCACAAGTATGACAGGTAATGGCGCAAATAGGTTGGAGTGATATAAACATATGTTTGACTGGCGTATGCAACATTCCAACCAAATTTCCCACTCCAGCTCTGCTGCACGCATTCCGGATAAAACACGTTGGATGGGGTGTTCAAACAAGGTGACTCGCTCGCTGATAGAGGTGAGACAACAGCTGGTTACAGTTTCCAGGGTTAGTCCACTGTTTAATGATACCTAGCTGCTCTTGACGAGAATCATGGGAAAGGGATTGAATTCCGAAAAAACTTACTAATAGTGTACGCGTCAGTTCCCCAAAAGTCCGCTGTCCCCTTGATATATTTTAGATCTTCTTTAGTAAGAGGAACGTAATCCGTGACTCTTTCTTTATAAATGGCGGGATAGTCCTTGCCGAGATAAATCGGATTGCCAAAGATTGCCAGTTGGAAGTTGTTGTAATCAGTAGCTGCCTCGACGTGAGATGCATTCCATGGATCAAGCGGTACACCAAATAGATTGCTGAATTTCATTCCAACTTTGCCTGTACCATTGATCTGCTCGTGATAAAAGTGATATAATTGAGCATGTGCTTTAAGTACTGTATCCACAGACTTTCCATTCTGGCAGTAAACGAATGGTTCGTTAAACCTGGTGGCAACAATTAGTTATCACTTGCAGAACGAGAATTGATATCTTACGTCACCCAAAGAGGCACCTTTGAACGAAATGCATTAGTATAAACTGCCACTAGTAGAATTGGATTGGGCTGAACGAACTCGATCGGCAAAATGGGTCATAACAATCTTTCCATAGTGCTGTAGAATAAAGAATAAGCATTCTAGATGTTAGTAATATGGAAGCTGACTTACAACAAAAGAATCCAAGAAAGTCTCATTTTGATAAGCTCCGTTATTATAACCCACTGCCGGTTTTTCATATAAAGATGAGACATTTGCGGCATAGAACTGCAATGGTGTATCGAAATGAATCAACGTAACGATGGGGAGCATCCCCTTTGCTATGACAAAATTGAGAAGATCACTGGGATAGAAATAATTAGTCATCGCAAGACAGTAGATTGAATGGAGTATGTCAGGCCGGTTTACTTATAGTGATCAATAGCCTGCTGGTTGACAGGTGAACCTGGAACAGCAAATGGAAGAATTCTAGTCCATGGAATCGAGAACGAATAGTACTTTACTCCTATAGCTGCCAAACGCTCAATATCCTGCTTATATAGGTAGTAGTTCTCATTCGTCACGTAATCAGGGTTGGGGCCGTCTTTGGCGATAATATCCGCTGAAGATGGCGCTTTGCCTTCGTGGCTAATAGCTCCTTCAATCTGGGAAGCTGAGCCGGCGGCGCCATATATAAAGTCATCTGGGAAGTAGTAACAGTCCGTTGGACCAAAATAATCTCTTGGCGGCAATATAAGTTCAGCACTCGGCACCGGTGTCGGCGAAACAGTCGTACTATAGATCCCCGTAGATGTAAAATTAATAAGAAATGGTCGCACATTCTCCCAAAGTGCAGTCCATGAGGCACTGCCATATCTATCATGGAAATCGGTCGCAGTCGCAGTACCGGCGGGATCCCAGCTGCCCCAGGTGGTTGTAGGAACAGGGGGGATGAGACTGCGAAGAGCGGAAAATGGAGCAGCAAATGTTTCCGTAGAAGTAGGGGAGGGAATAGGGATTGCATAGCGATAGGTGTCTGACTGGGTAAATGCAAAAGTTGAGAAGGCAAATGTAGGAGAAACGGCGGTAGTGGCAGAGCACTGCGGTCTTGTAGTCGGGCCTGTCGTCAAAACATATTTCTGCTGAGCATTCACAAGTATACTGAAGGCAGAAATTACCGAGAGGAGTATTTTAATACTCATGATAGTGTGAGTGTAAAAGTAGAAGGGACGAGTGTAATAGTAGGATGTGTGAAACAAACTTTCCGTGAAGACGGCATTGGCGGTTTATATAATGGGATTATACTCAACTTCAGAGGGGTTTTTTTTTTTTAAAAAAAAAAAAAAAACTAGTAGTAGACCATCAATGTTGACCGCAGAGCATATCCCCTGATCCCAACCTTGTAAAGCTAATACGCGCATCATCAAGGCAGAATAGGAGATGAGTTTCATCCAATCACAAGGCCCAGAATACGCGCATTGGTTTAAAGCGTGTTCGGGGCTGCGGAGTCGACAGAAGCGTATTGGCTGACTGTTACGATCTGGGTTAATTGCAATTGTTAGATCCCTTATAAGCAGCTACCTAGTTCTATCATAATAATTGCTACAAAGGCGATTACTGGCTTAATCTTTTGCCTTGTTGGCGCTACAGTATGACAGCATGTAACACTTACATTGAGCTCTTGAATTGATTAGCACGAAACTTCATATAGTGGATACTGCGCTGTAAATGCACACCGTATTACCAAACAAAACTAGGGCTTGTAGATAATTGTAAGGTTAGTTCATTTCGCAAAGGTTGCAGAATCTGCTCAGGTTGCCGCCTGAAGCGAGGTTAAGCGATAGCTTTTAGTTGGCCCGTTTATAGATGAGGAGGAAGTGTACTTCTGGTTGTATCACAACTACAGTGCTCTATCTAGTTCCCTAATCCCCTGCCCAATCCAGCGGCCAATCCAGCGGCCAATCCAGCGGCCAATCCAGCGGCCAATCCAATCCGCGCCCATCAGCCAATCCACCGAGTCTGTCGAACTACCTCCGTTGGTATGACTTTCAGCGGGGTTTCAATAAACCAATTGGAAGGTTTTACTTCCAAATGGATTACGAAGGGTGGATCCAGCGGGTAGTATAGCGGTGTGCGGCGGCGTTGAATGTGTAAAGCAGTATCGTATGCGGCAAGATCTAGTATAGTGCTAGTTTGGTAGATCAGCGATATCGCTGGATTGCACGCGTTGATAATTGACTAACCTTGTGGTTGAAATGGACAAGAAGGAGAAGAAGGAGATCGAGGAAACTTTTGGCGAAAGAAGGGCCTGCTGTTGCCTGAGACTGTTGAAAAAGAAATGTTATGGTGTATGAATAGACGAGTAATATGCGAGCTCGGTAAAGGGAGATGTGTTGGATGTATTTCCTATAGTAAATAATATAGAGAATATATTCGGTCTGGAATCTTCGTAATATCCGCAACCTTCGCAACGTCTGCAAGCCTAAGAGCTGAATTGCAAGCCTTCCACCCATTTTACAAGTCCAGTAGCATCCCACTAATCCTCCTTACTGTATAAGAAATTGTATTAACTTAACTTTAATTTTATAAGTTACCTTATATAGGGTTTTGTCAGGTACTACTTACCCATGAGGTTTATTATTGCCATTATAAGAGATAAATTATAATAACACGTTATTCCAAACGGCTCTTGGAATCTTCATCCGCATGTGCCGGATTTAATCTGAAGATCTGAGGCTGGAAAGTCTGCCACACCTGATCCGGGTCATACTTTTCGCTCGCGGCCACCAATTTGTCAAAACCTTTCTCTCTGTAAGTTGGGAAGATGACTTGCTCCTGGTCAGCATAATTGAGGAAGATGAAGGGGTGATGAACTCCTTTCTCTTTGGCGAGAGCAGTTCCAAAATTGATTGTATTTCTCGACGCAGCTTTAGCACGATCATCGCCACTTTATGAGGACCATGCAATTTTTATCTCAATCACTGTGGCATGGTTAGTTGTGACACGCGAGGTGGGTTGGTTAGGGACAGAAAAGGGGGTTATCACGCTGTACTTACAAATCAAAGGCCCATCTTCTTCAGTGATTCCTAAGGCATTGCCACCTCTATCTCTGAAATGAGCTATCGTAGGAAGAGTGACTGTCTGATAGATGAGAGCAGGATTCAGATCAGCTACATCTTTGATGCTGTTGTATTCATTCATGAATATGGCTGTAATCTCTTTGACAATACTGGCGTCGTTCTTGAGCATTAAACCCCATGTCGTACGTCTGTTTCAATTCAGCGTTAGCTGCGAAGAACGTCTCCAAAGGTATTTATTTGCACGTACCGAAACCCGCTGGGGTTAAAGGCGTTGAACCCCGCCGCAGCATCTAATAGACTTGTAGCGCGGAGCGTGTCCGAAATGCGCGAGGCACCGAGGTGAAGTTGGACATAATGGCGGGGTTCTCCTCAGGTGCGACATAATACAAGGCAGCGGCAATTATCCATCGATCGTTCGGCTGGTCATAAGCATAAGTCAGAACGCTCCCGCCGTTACCTTGGGAGTCCGTTGCGCCGTTAATGTTCCAATTCTCAGGCATCATAACAGCGAGATACTTAGCACTGCCGGAATTTGGTGAATCCTAGTAATGTAGCTTACTTAACCAATCTTAAATATATATAGAACAGCAATTTTCCAATATCTAGGAGTTATCACACACATCTGCCAACCTCTTTTGGCCAATCTCCTACATTCAACCGACTCCAACTACGTGCCACCAGTGAAGACAATAAGGTTTGTCATCGTAAAGATGCTCGTCACATTTAGGTCTTGCCCTCGTGGCAGTGGGTTCTTCGACGGCCAACTATGTTAGGTGAATGAACAATTTGGAGCGCCGTCAAATGTGTATAAAGGATTCCAATTACTGCTGCGGGAATGTGTGCTCCCAGCCCCTGGACAACACATTGGCACTGGATGGGTCTGTTCTGATCCTGATAAACTGTTCAACTGGTTTTTAGTTTACTCCTTAAATATGGCTGGTTGCGCGAAGTGGTGCTACGGAACCTGGGACAACTGTTAAAGAGATGTGGTCTCCCCTTCTTTTCCCATCCCTTTTTGGGTTTTCCTCTTTCGCTTTCCTATAGAGGTGGCTACCCTTCCCGCCAGCGCTACGTGATTACTACTACATTGGACTCGCAGTAATGTTTTCCTTTTACTATACATATGGGGACAAAGTTTGAAGTTATACATATTGTGCAGTAATTATCACACAGAACTTGTTACGGTGTCCCCTCTACGTTTTTGGACTATAAAATGGTCAATACCCTGTGACATTGTCTACATGTACTTTATGATCTTATGTCTATCAGACACATTGAATCATCATTCAATTATACCCAACATTCAGCCTACAAACCGTAATATATTTCATCATTATCAATGTTATATCCTGGACTGATTGTATATTGACATTCTTTGTTTTAGTGAGTATCCAAGGTAAAGCAGAATCGGCAGCAGGGTTCGGTATCGCTACTGTCAGAGGTGGGGTAAAATCGGAAGTAGGGATTAGCATCGGGACGCTTTCTGAGAACTGGTTTTGTAGACGGACAGAACGGCATTGGGACATTTTACATCTAATTCTACTCATGATGTCGTCGGAAATGTACAGCATTGTATGTGTTGGACTCCGATTTTTGGGTCTTCCGGACTATGTGATACGGCATGAATTCCGACGTGGAATATGGGCAGTGTCTTCCGCGTGTCTTGTCAACATGACCCCGCCATCTATGTAGACACGTAAAAAAAGCTGGTTTCGAGCTATAAATGGGCAGCTTCCAGATGCGCTATCCAGCAGAGTGTGCAAGAGCTATTGACCACATCCAATCTAGCTCCTATCTCCGTCCTCATTAAACTGTCTGCCAGCCCATTCACTTTACACCCAGCTTTCAAATGTCACCAGTAAAAGGACTTTGATGTAGCAATCGTTGGGGGTGGAATTGCGGGGCTGACATTAGCGATTGCTCTCAATTCTCGGTCGATTCCAGTCACTCTCTATGAGCAAGCGGCCTCATTTGGAGAGATTGGGGCGGGTGTCTCCTTCAGCCCCAATGCTGTCCAGGCTATGAAAGTTTGCCACCAGGGTATTTACGAAGCATTTGAAACAGTGTGTACTAGAAATCTATGGCCGTCTAAAGAGAAAGTTTGGTTCGATTATGTGGATGCATACAGCGATGTAATGTCCAACGGTGTTCTTGAAACAGCGTTCACCATTTCGAATAGTCTCGGGCAGAACGGCCTCCACCGCGCCCATTTTCTGGAAGAGGCTGTCAAGCTCATTCCCAAACAACTTGCGAGGTTTGGTAAACGACTTCAAAACATCACTGAAGAAGGCAACGGTAGACTCGTGATGCATTTCGACGATGGGACCGCAGCTGAGACTGACGCGATCATTGGATGTGATGGGATCAAATCCCGGGTGCGCCAGGCCATAGTTGGCCCCGATCATCCCTCCGCCCGGCTCGTTTATACTCACAAACATGCGTACCGCGGGCTCATTCCGATGGAGGATGCGTGTGCCGCTGTTGGTGAAGAGCGAGCTCAGAATGCTTGCATGTATGTGAGTTCTCTGCTCAACCCCACGATTCTGATTGGGCTAATGCTTCTAGATGGGGCATGACAAACATATCCTAACCTTCCCGGTGAACCACGGAAAGACTCTTAATTTGGTCGCATTCAGAACGACCTCGGAAGACTGGCCTGACGCCCAGAGATTAACCAGGTCAGGCCAACTGGACGAGCTTCTGCACGAATATCAGGATTATGGGCCCACAGTCATCAAGTTATTAAAGTTGCTCGACCAGAAACTTAATGTGGTAAGTCACTCGCTGTATATCTACATCTCATTACTGAATAGATGCAGTGGGCGATATTTGATCTTGGCTCTCCCGTTCCAATCTTCTATAAAGGTCGCATTTGTATCTCAGGCGACGCTGCGCACGCTACGTCTCCTCACCACGGCGCCGGGGCGGGGTTCTGCATTGAAGATAGTGCTATGTTGGCGGAGCTGCTCGCAGACGAGCAAGTCAAGTCACGGCATGAACTGGAAGCCGTCTTTGCTACATGCGATGCAGAGAGACGATCAAGAGCGCAATGGCTGGTAGAGAGCAGCCGATGGATTGGAGACTGCTACGAATTACGTGCACAAGGGATCGGAAATGACTTCACTAAGATTGAGGCCGAAATCAAGGAAAGAAATGCGATTATTGCTGATATCAACATAGAGCAGATGTGCGCGAGGGCTAAGGACGAGTTGCGGAAGAGGCTGTCAAGCCCTTGTGAGAGGTAAACTATTGTAATCTTAAGCAGTGCAATTACACTCGGGCGTCGAATAGAACAGTGGATATATTACGTATTGTTGGTTCAATCAGTATTGGCCAGCTGTACGAATATTCTTCAGTAACCTCAACCTTAACATAGCCTTTGAACACATTAACCAAATTTCTCATGTCCTAAAGTTTTGAACCGTTTCCAATTTGCGTTCAACGATTAGTCTTAATCCCTCAACAGGCCCATGAAATGCACAAAGCCGACTGGATTAGGAGAAGGAACGTCTATAATCTCTGGTTATCCCTCAGGAGCTACTATACTCTTGAGGACGCTTCAGGGACTTGTAATCTTCTGATACTCGTGGCTGGCCATATAATAGCGTCTAACTTCGCGCCGTTAACCTGCGGGGCACTCTTGAGGATAGGCCCCCTCTGTACTCACGTAGCAAATGACTCGACTAGCGTGGAGGGGAGGGGAGGGAATCGCGTCGATACTGATGGTTAATGTTGTCAAGCAAGTTCTATTTATTCTCTTGATTCAAAACCATCCTTGGAATCAGGGTACTGCCTACCCAGCGTAGATTTTGAGGTAGAAGTCCTTCAAACAACATTTGGCGTCGCCAACTGCTCGTTGAGAGTTCTATTGTATTACTTGGGAACGTTACCGGTGTGGTTGAATGGACATGTCTGATGTCCAAGCTTCAAATGAGTCTTCGGGGCAGTTTACGATACTACCTTCATCTAATGGACCCTTGGAGATGTTCGTCTATAGTATGCCTGCCACACCATTTGCATTGTGTTGAAACAAGTGTAAGATCGTAGCAGATGAAGTGGCCCCAATGCGAATAGTTACTTTAAGAGAGAAAATTGTCAACTTGAAGAACTGCTAATCCATAATCGTTATTGTTAGTGGCTAACATGTACGGGGTAGCTGGTTGGTGATTATACTCATACATAGTACAAAGGCAGTAGTATGAGACGGTGCAATGTCTTCCTTACGCCTCCAGTGGTTAGTGGATTGCATACTGTACGAACCCTTTTGCCCTATTATTATCAGCCTGACCGGCTATATTGAATAATGCATGCAATGTTCTTCTGGTCGGCTGTAGCCCAGCCCCAGACGTGGATAATGGTGAAGTCAATCTTTTACGGGACTTGTGAAACTTGCGTGGGAGTTAGAAGCACTCTGTTCTCTTTATTATTGCCTTAAATCCGCAGGGTATCAATTCCCAATATTAGTGACTGCTTGTGCTGAGGTGGAAAAACTTACCAAAGGCAAATAGTTTGTCTGTCATACTTATTATAGAACAGGGCGACGGCTTGGAAACTCATTGACGGATAGGGTATTTGACAATGTTCTTGCGTAAGATTTGTGGTACGATAGTATGTATGCAAAGTACAGAGTCTCATTTGCTGCCTATGATACACAATGAAATATGTCTGAAATACATAAACTCTTTAAATACAAGCCTTTCAGGTATGTTGAGGCAATACGAAGACACCATCAGGCCACTACACCCAATGATCATTAGCCAATACGTATCGGTATTTTGCCTTTCCTTTCTCCATGTCCACAATAGCGCGGTTTGCCTCACTCATCGGCCACTGCTCAACCCACGGTTTAATACCCTTGTCAGCAGCAAGCTGGAGCATCGCCCGAATTTCGTGTGGCGAGCCTATGAAGCTTCCGGTTAACTTCCGACGTTGTGAAGCAATTCGCCCACGCTAGCTCCCAGAACCATTAGACAGCGCCGGGTCGTAATATCTCAAGTTCTTTCTGAGAACACCCAGGTAGACAAACTATGGACTCAGGGAGTCAGCCTCCGCCTACGCAGCCCGTGAAGAGGAGACGCATTACGGTACATCGCACCAGACCCCGCCAAACCAAGCTGCGAAATTTGAATATCGCTGACACTGCATGTTCTCTATAGAGGGCATGCGATAGATGCCATCACGGATCGCTTAAGGTATTCAGCCCGTTGATAGACTGCAATCTTGCACGACGCTAAAAGAGTAACCATGCGACGCAGTGTGCACCTGGTCCGACGCCGCAGCCTTCCCAGCCTTGCGCTTCATATGGCGCAGAATGCAACTTTGATCGGCCATTCAAGCGTCGAGGAATGAGTTGTGTTCCAAGTAGCCGAATGATACTAGTGAACATTTTCACCGACTACGAAGCGTATCACAGCCACCTGCTCGCTCTCGGGCTACCAAGGTTACCAGCCAACTGCAGCGGCAGCCACCAACATACAGCTTAGTGATGAAAGCGGGCTCGGCATGGAAATATTCTTACGTTGCCGATACCTCGGTGATAGAATATCTGGCAGATCAGTATCACCAGATTGTCTTTCCCATGTAGCATAATTTTTTAAAACTCCTTCCGGTTTCTGTCGTTGATTAAGTCTGCTAGCCTGCTATACTTCCACTGACCGAGCTTCCACGCAAATATTGTCGCTAGGCGGTACCTATTTGATCGATTCCTTTATATCTTAACCATGGCGGTCTGCGCGACTGCCTCCACACGACTATCTAGAGAGTTGCCACCGCGCATTATATTGACTATGAAGAGCAAGGATAATCCCTCGTTGTCGGGCATGTTTTACACTGCTTGTATGAATGCTCTTCCGGTACTGCATACTGACGAGGTCAAGTTTAATTTTATGCGTGCCGAAACACTACTGGGCATGCTATGTCTCGAATACAGTAGTATCTGAGGCTGCTATGCTCACCTTCATAGCTATTTGGCTATGTGTGCCGAGATAGGCTTAGGGTTACTCAATTGAGATAACGCAAAAATTACACCCTTTGAGCGCGCCTTCTAAATCAGCGTATGCTTCGACGCTGTAGTTGAGTTTCTGTTGTTGGATATATTTGTTGGCGATCTCAGTCACGAACTCATGAATCTCAGCGTCGATGTCATTCAGAACGATGGTGCTGCCCTTGAGCGGGCTTGGATTGGACACATCACCCAACATAGCGCTCCCTGCCCCGATAAGCACAATACGAGGAGCTATCTTGAAGTAAAGATTAGAAAGAATATCGATGAAAGAATATGGATTTGTGACAAGAGAAAGCCTATATCGACAATTGATAACGATATGGAGGACTAAGGCCCCAGAGAGAGAGATAATAGCCGTGGTATAGATCAAGTGGCCAGAAAGACAAAGAAAAGCACGGTATCTATATACGAGTACAGGCGGTCTTATAGTAGGCTCCGCGAGAGAGATTACCTGTTTGAGAGTAGGTTAGGATATCTCGTGCACCCCACGACTGCTACTTTTTACCAACCAAAATTACTTCTTTCAAATGACATGTAGAGTTCGTAGTTCAGCTATATAGTTGATAATTCTTTCACCAAATTGGGAATTTGGAGGGTGTTTCATTACATATCTCTTCAAAACCATGGTGAGTACGAGCATGCGTCTACAGCTCCCTCCACACAATATAGTTCCAAGGAACGCATAATTATCGTACTGTACCTAGATATCATGGATAAACTGCTAAATTCAAGCTTGTCAAATTGGTTAAAATCATCTAGACTACAAATGACTCTTAAATTGACTTAGTACCTCAGGTAATGGTGCAGGAGCGATTTAGCTCACCTATGCATGGGTTGGACACTGGTATTTAACAGTTTACCAAGATGACAGGAAGTTTCTTTAGCAATAGAGAAATGCTGAGTAGCGCTTTGAAGTTTGGCCGACGCACGAAGTTGGCCTCCTCTGTGAAATTAGCCCGAAGTCTAAGACGGTAAATACAAGTCCTCGGGGAGGCTCGACCGCTCCGGCGAGAGAAAGCTGCGAAGCGGTGCTTCCAGGCTTCAAGATAGCGGCAGCTATGGTGGCTGACGACCCAGAGTAAACTAACCGAATGCGCAATGAAACCAGCCAATATTACGATCGTTTTCAACTAAAAATTACTCACGATTGCAGTATTCAAAACTTGAATCAAGTTGCGATGGAAAATAAGAATCGTGTCGCAGAACCTATTCAGCTATTGAGCTAGATATTCTTCAAAGTGTCCCAGCTGCCTTCAGATCTCCCTGTCGTCTTTACAGTTCTCACAGATACACGGTTATCACAGGCCACCTCGTACCGAAGAGTGACTGTAATGATAGCGACCATGTTGCTCATCATGGACCTCCGCCATGGGCACGGCTGCCAGCCTAGCCATAGTAATAGTAATGCATGGGTTTCAAAAAATGAATTACAAATTTTCCATGCGATTTTTGGTCACAGTTTCACCTCCGGTTCAGATGGAATATCCCTCTAGCATGGGCTTTACCACACAGCACAGCAGATCGATCACCTTCCTAATTCTCTGGAGAAATTCATGTCCCGTTCATTTCCTACGCCTGTACTAGCTCAGACATAGTTTTACCGCCAAAACTTTTATCGGCTTTATAGAATGCACAAGGCCGTTCATATACTCCATGACAGCTACAAAAGGCGACCTTGGACCTCTATCCAGTGCAAAGCAATCCGGGTCCAATCTCAGTTATATGGTGTGTAAATAGTGCTATGGGCAATACTACAACACTCATCACGAATCATCCCGACTTGGCGAGATGGGGAAGAACCAACAACTCTCCCATGGTCGGTGTTTCTGTAAGTAAATGGGCTTCATGGCTGTCGGTCTCCAAATATTGATACAAAGTTAGTTTGCGTATCCACTTGCAACAGTGCTTACGTCAAATTTTGCCATCCTGAGAGCACGGCAGCAGTATGTGATGAAGTTACAATTGTGATTTTTCATACTATGACATGATTTGTTTTCAACGTCATCAATTTAGTTCTTAAACCAATGAAGAGAGGCCTGGAAATATACAAAGGGATTATAGTCAGATAGGGTATAAACGTACTATTAAAATATTTTACTTTACTTATTCCCTCTAATAGGGAAGGGCTCTGTAGAAGTAGATATCTCTGCGATATTGGAACTAGCGGTGAGTGATGCTGATACCGCTGGGGTGACCTAAGTAATACTAGGACAGTCATGTTCGGGCGCTGTTGCAAAACATATTAGCCTAGGTTCCATGTATACCCAGTCCGGGAATCGTACCATGTGAATCGTGCATCTGCAGGTTGAGCTTTTCATCTGCATGTTCAACTAGGTAGTTCAAGGCTGTGCGAGCCCAAGTCCACAGATGACCCTCAGAGTCGGGCTGAAAGTTCCCACTTCACGTTGCACACAAAGGGCAGACGAGGGAAATCTCCCTCCATCTTTCCCTCACAGGCTTTGTTTCGATCAATTTACCAAGGGGTAAAGGTTTGCACCCTACTCAGGAATGAAATGTCAAGTCGAGGGACGGGTCTTTTATATCAATTGGATATACTCCATACCTTCAGTTTTATTCGTTGAATTACTCAGCGTTAATCAACACCCTAATACCCTGTAGGCTTATTATCAAGATCATAAAGGTTGGGTTACAATAGTATCCTCATTTCAGATTTGCCTATGAGTATATATCTTGATTACATGCAGCTGGTCTCTGTTAGTTGAATTTAAACTCCTCAAAAAGAGTCCGACCCTCATACGCTCTGTTTCTTCCGGACCCCGTTATAATGGCTTTGGCCGTTCCCTCTGTTCGAACATAGTTGTCCGTATCAATGAGGACAAGTCCTGTCGTCACGTTAACCACCATCTCCATACCCTTTCCCAAATCGAACTTTATATCCAAGCCTTCCATAATACCCGTCTTCGCTTTAGGAGGGTATTCGCTGTTCTTTCCCCATGGCCGCACCACTACAGCATTTTTAGTGCAGCTGCCCTGTATCAATTCTCCATTCTGGCTCACATAGCCGGAGAAATACTCTTTTCCTGCTGTATCAATCGCATCAAACCAAACCACTGAGTAAGGCCCCAACCGTGCATGGCCCCAATACCATGATGAAGTGACGGAAACAAACGGTGCGTCACCCCAATTTTTGTCGTGGTAGCCAATTCCGTCGGTGAACTGCACGCAAGTTCCCTGAATGTTCAGGTCGACGACTGCGTCAGCATCAGGTTGCGCGTTCGCCCAGAAGACGTTTGGAAATAGCTCTTCTCTTGCACCAGAGTGGTCAAGGCCACACGACAGATGTGGAGGCGCCCTCGAACGAAGCGTGACGGTACCGTAGCATCCGATGGCTGGGGCATCGACTTTCAAAACGTACGTTGGGCTGGGGCCATCGAGGCTGGTACCATAGAATGAGAAGCCGGAGCCGCTCCACTCGCCAGAAATACCACTCTCGTCAGATTTAATGACCACGTCCCCGGTCACCGGAGAGGTTAAAGAAAAGAGGCTACCATTGCTGAAGGAGCCAGAGATTCCGACTGAGAAGGGACCACCGCCAACATAGGCGAAAGGAAATCCATTGGGGCCAGTGTTGTAGAATACCACAGTTACAGACTCATTTGTTGTGGCAGACACAGCATCAAAATACCACCTTTTGTTTTCAAAGAGTGTAAGCATAAGTCGGCCGCATCGCATAAAAAGAGGCTCACCAGTCGTAGGATGTCTCATTCGCACCCGGCCACAGTTTCGAACCATCAAAGTCTCCTGCGCGGATCTCTGATTCTGCCTTAACGGGGTTGTTGATAAGTTGGTTCGGCAATGTCAGCGAAATAGCGTGAATAGAGGGAAGAAGCCCAAGGGCTATCACAGCCAAGGATTGCAACATGATGACTATGAAATGTTATGTCTCAGTAAATGTTCGTAATGTCTTCAAGAGCACGGGAGAAGAAGCCTTTTATACTAATACCTCACCCGCAATCCGCTGCATCTGAAGCGACTTGGAGACTGCTCCGATATCTACCGAGTAGGCAGAGTATAGACTGGCAAACTTCTAAGCATAGACATCATGTCCCTAGTAGGTAGCGATATACGGAGTTTGCATCTCCCTACCGTATTCCCTCGAAAAATTGGACTGTGGGTCTCTTCGATTTCTTCGCTTAATTATATATATGAAGTTAGCTGACTGCTATCTCTGGTAAATAAATAGTGGACGGAATCTGGAGAGACCCACAGTCCAATTTTTCGAGGGAATACGGTAGTATTATAACTGACAAGGGCTAACTGACATTTTCTCTATATGCAGTATAGTGCCGGAACAAATTATTTAATGTTTTGACCCCTGCCTGCTACTTTAGAGGAACAGATGAGTTCTTGCGTCCAGGTCTCCAATATGGATACAATAGAATATGTTGCCATCCGCTCGGCATTAGTTCGCACCCACTGGACATGTAGAGTAGCCTCTCTGACATTTTTTCCATTTTTGGCTAGAGCCGACATCCACCCCTGGATGACGAGTACACGTATCAACGCGAATCCCGGAAAACGATTGCCTCCCATCCAGGAGACACCTTCTCTCCTTCTTGGCTTGGGGAGCTACACCAGCTCGAATTACGTGCATCTCCATGTACGTTTTAGTACTGTTGGGTTGAATCATAAAGCGCGCGGCTCTTGACAACTTGCTGCAATAGATATATGTAGTCTAGAGGCTGTTCTCTATCAAAATTGCCGGATATGTCATCGAAGCCCCTTCATCACCCGTATCCTGGTAACTAAATATCACTTTGGTGTCCAATAGAGCACGCATGTTAAGTCTGGAGGTTTCTTACCGCACAATACCATTCACCTACAAGGTTCATACGCCAACCACTCTACTGTTTGAGAATAACTGTTTAAGTCCGTGATGCCGCCTTCAATCCCCGAAAAAGCAGCTCAGCCTCGACAAAGTGCATATACATGCACTATAGCTTCTACATCTTTAACCTGACGCCGTGAGAACCACCGCGATTTTTGGCGCCGGATTGGGCGCGGTGTCAGTGATCCGGCAGGCCATGGTTTAGGTTGTGTCAAAGTCTAGAGACTATAGGCTTCTCGTTGTGGCCCCGAACACTCATTATCACTTTCCTCTGGCCATGCCACGCGCCATTGTCCCTGGTCAACTCAACGATGATAAAATCCTAAAGGATCTGCAGCCTCAATTCAGTCAGTACCCAGCCAACGAGTTTGAGTTCATTCTCGGCGCCGCCAGCTCGCTAGATGCGAACAGCAACAGCTTTACCGTCACGTTAAACAAAGGTGGTCAGAAGGCCGTCAAGTACGACCACCTCATCATCGCCACCTTACGTCACTCCGGTGCTTTCGGTTATGAGCATCATGTAACCACCTTACTCAACTACCGCACATGTTCGGTAAATGCGTAGTAACCGAATCCAGGGGCGGAGAAAGCGGGTCAATAAAGTCCGCCATCGCTCGGTGTCAGCAAACAGTCCGCAGCTACAGAGTAGTAGTTTAACATTTCTCCTTTTAATCCTTGCTTGCCTTGCCAGACAACTGCTGATGTTGGTGTGTTTTAGTGCCATGTCCGCCTTCCTGGCAGGCTCTATTAACAAAACATTCTACGATCTGCCTAACTGACACTTTTTCCTGTTTTCAACTAGCAAACGCTTCGTAAAGCGGATTTGTGAGCGCACTGACTACCAACCCCGAAACCAACTAATGCGAGACCATGTCGCCACCTAAAAGTGAATTGAGTCTCAAGGTGGGGCCAGCTTCACACAGGTTAGCACATGATGCCTCTACTTCCCAGAGCGAGAGATTGCGGAAGAGACTCCGGAACCGCTTTGAGCAGCGAGCACGACGTGAGTAAGATAGTGGGTGCTTCAAAGACATTAATGCCGACTCGGTGATAGGGGCCCGCCTAAAAGAAGTAGACTTGGCAAACCAGACTCCTTCCAAAAGAAAGTCACCTTTATTTGAGATTGATCGATGGCGGCTGGACGAAGTAGGCTCTGATCAAACCACCTTCGTTTCTCCGTTAACCAAAACACGGCCACGCCATAATGACGCTGAGACGAGTGTAACTACCAGCGACACGAAAGTTATCATTTGTCAAATAGCGGACAAGTCACCTCTGGTTAATGTGGAGTTTTACGGCCAGCGATTGGAATCTATATCCTCACTTCTGGCAACGAAACCTCCATCATGGCAGATAACATGTCCTCTCTCGGATCATTTACTTCATCTTGTCAACTACAACGCCTTCCGAGGGTTTCTCAGAAACAAAATTCTTCTCTCGCATGTCGCAGAGCACTATTTCAAGCAATCATCGGGTGATGTCGTGAAAGCAAACATCATGGAACCATTTTCAGCCAAGACCGTCATTATCCCGACTGTTTCCGATATGCCCATTTGCCTGTGTCCTACCGAATCTCAGAGAAGGCTTCCCCATAGGACCTGGATTGACTTCCTTCCTTTCCCCAGGATAAGGGATAACCTCATTCTGAATGAGCATCGTTTCAATCACTGGGAATTCATAGTCGATTTAATTGGCTATCCAGTAAGTCGGATGATATATCCTTCAAAGCAAACAATGGGCCCTCCTAAAAGTCATGGTCAACTGGTCCGAGGGGATATGCTTGACGATAGTTTGATAGCAACTAAAAATTGCCTGATATTATGGGGCGATCCAGATAGACCACAAAGTTGGGAAGCCACTCCAGGTTTCATGGAGAAATGGGGTTGGTTGACTGAAGGTTACCCTGAAATATTACATTACAGTAATCAATGGAGAATATCAAGGGGTGAAGAACCAATGTCATACGTTGAGTCTATATGTAAACTATAGAAAAGGGTAATAATATCTTTATGAGAATTAAATATATAATCAATGAATATACTCAATCTTTCATCGAGGATTAAGTACATAATTGGTTTGTTTTAAATATCTTTTTGGAATCCTTAACATGCTTTTTTCTTTTCCTTTAGGGTATGCATGGTTAGGACTCGAAGGTTTAGGTCTTTCCCAAGAAATGAAAAAACGAGGTGGTATGTATGTAGAAGGGTATACATTGCAGAGGAGACATGCGGGCGTGAACGAGAATAAATTACATACACAAAGTCTTATCTAGGTAATCGAATTGTAGGAATTGTCAACCCAATGAAGTTATGGCCCACTATGTAAACAACGTACATTCTCGACCAGCCACACATCAAAAAATAGGATTGAGATGAATCAATGGGAGAAACTAATAGCAGAAGAATTATAGAAGTGAGTTTCTGCATCACAAAATGTTAAATATTGACCTGGAAACCCTCACATGGCGCGAAGTGCTTGGGGTTCTGAGTAAAACATGATTCGCGACACATAAAGTGCACAATGCACAAAATCTCTCCAGTGCCAGGATACTCAGGTGGAAATAACAAAGGTCCAACCAGCTACAGGAACGTCACCGAAAACTGCAGCTATGGCCTCTGCTATTCTGACCGAGTTTTGTCGACTGCTCGCGATTCAAGTACATAGGAGGCTTATAAAATACAGCTCGATTGGGCATTGCAGTAAGTCAACCATCCAATAATTGCTTACGTCGCGTGTAACAAGTATTATTATGTCGAAAAAGGTTGCTTTGATTCGGCGGGCCCATAAATTACTTACCCCATCTCTCATCATGATAAAGGCCTTGCTTTTATGTAACTTTATCTCATTTGCACATGAACCTGTACTGCGGTTAATATGCCCATAACAGAGCGCTAGAATGCAATGCAGAATACAACGTGAACCTCGACCAGTTTCAGCATTGGATCAGCAGTTATTAAAAGTTAAGTCTTGAGCAGAGGACACTACACAGAACTCTTGGTTATGTGTTTGCAATTAGAGTAAAGTTTGAGACGGTAAAGGGTGTCTCATATATATCGAGCCAGCAGCTTTATAATAGCGAGGATAATATAAGAAGCAGCCTCGTTAGTTCTTTAGCGACAGCTTGGCGCTTCTTCAAACTACAATAATTCAGTAAATTATGAAGACCCCTATTATCACAGAAGCTTTTTGAAAATACAAATTGCTAAAAGTTGTGGGAAAGCTGGGCAATGTTTGGCTTCCAGTAGGCTGTATAATCCTAGTGTAACTTATATAGTTATACCTAAACTATAATTATTGAGTGAAATCCAAGGGCCTCTATTATTATATAAGATTTTTAAAAATATAGATTGTCAAAAGGTATTGGGGATTGGGCTATACTCGGTTTCCAATAGGCCAGACAACCCCTGGCATGCCTTGTGCTGAAAGAGCTAAACTGCAACACTTCAGTGGGTTGCAAGGCACCCCTGTTTAATCAGATGTGTTTGGCATGTACTAAGACAAAGTGTCTCTTTATTATGTTCGTGTGTCTAAATGAAAAACACAATCCCTTGAACCTTGCCAGAACCAGGATCCAATGTAGTAATGAACCTTGCCAGAACCAGGATCCAATGTAGTAATGAACCTTGCCAGAACCAGGATCCAATGTAGTAATGAAGTATCAGCTATAAGCCTGGTTTGCGAAGAGCTCTATAACTCAGATTCCATGTTAAACGGCTCTCAAGCTTATTGAAATAAAGCCCTTTCATCACTAGTAACAACTCTTGTCTAGTTTGAGTGTATGTCTAATATTTCCAATCGTCAGAAATGTATATAAAATATAATCTAACCAGAGTACGTTAAACAAGGCAGTATGAGTTAAGTTTGTAGCAACTTACTTTAATGATTGACGATTGTTATTGAGGAGCTAGAAGCCTGGTTATTTTTGAGGTTGCGAACCATTATTATTTCGCGCCTGCCGTCAGGAATCTCATCACCCGGCTCGTCGGATACCATGAAGCTGTTGCGTTGGTATACTGATCGTGCTGTAGCATTATCTGGTCGCACTGCAAGTCGAAGCTCGACGAATCCAGACTGTACGGCCCAGCTCGCAATTCTTCCTATAAGAGAAGAAGCGAGTCCTCTACCTCGAAAGCTAGGGTCCACCCACATTGAGATAATCTCAGCCCCCTCATTCCCTGTCGGGACCCCGGTTGCCATTCCAATTGCGCGCTCGCTGGCAGTCTCATCAACCTTGTATGCCACAAGATCAATTGCATTTCGTATTGATAGTCTGCTGCGCCACCGAGATTCTGGTGCGTTGGCCCAGTCGTTGAATCCAGAACCAAAGGCACCTGGCGTATCTGCCAGCGCTCTCAGGCGCACAGCTTTCCATGCCTCCCAATCGTCAGCTGACAGGGTGCGCAATTCCAACATCTTGACCCTAGATTGCAAGATAGAGGTTACTAGAATGGAAATTATACAGATAATATAAAAAGGGTAGATTCAACAACATTTGAGTTCTCATCTTTAACCGCCTAAGACGGCTGAGTGCGCAAATGCTGTGTGTGACTCATCTTCCGAATCTTATATAGGGTTACTACGTACAGTATGTAGATTACGCTCAGTAACCCCACTTAGACCTCACTTCAAACTCATTATATCGACATGACTCACGGCTTCAGAAGCATTCTACCTTTGCTATCAACGCAAGGAATAGGAATTGCTGCGGGTAAGACTACAGGCAATTGCACATAATTGATGATTACATGACTCAGCTGTCACGCGAAAATGTCGCATTTTGTTTGGGCAAATGGAGTGTGTTCCTGGAATCTCACATGGGGTACGTCTTTATGGAGCCTTGCTGTAGGTAGAAGAAATACGGGCTGTATTTCGGCCTTGGTTACGACACGTACGTCAACCAATAAGAGGTATTAATACTAAGCTGAGCACGGAATGCGAGAGCTCTCGACGATATATGAAGGGCGAAGTTGAATTGCAAAATCCTAGAAACGACGAAAATAAAGATAATAGCTGCTAGGTGTGTATCCAACTTAAATTAGGCAGTCTGTTTCAATTGCAGCTTCTTTACTATTATCTCACAGCATGTATCTCCAAGTCAATGCCTTGTCACCTTTACCAGAAAGCTGCTCAGCGGTGTATTGATTCATATCGCCCCGAGCCACCTTGGCTTCGCGCTTTCTGTTGATTTGCAGGTATGCAAAGACTAAAATGAGGGCGGCAATGATTCCAGCGCTAATGAAGCCAAGCTCCAATGCGTGACCGAGAATATATCGAGGGCCGTCCTTTTGTCGGTAGAAATTCGATGCCATGGCCTATTCTATTTGTTAACAAAATCTGAAGTTCCGCTGAAGTCAAAGGAACCTACTCCGCCAAGATTTCCGATACCAATCTGAAGTGCCATACCGGCGCTCCTCTTGTAGCTGCCGGCCAGGTTGTTTGCAAGCCAAGAAATGATACCAGGGAAGGCTGGATAGATGGAACAGGCTGTAATAAATACGCCACCGTAGACTACCCTTGGATTACTAGATGAGATACACCTAGAGAAAGGAATAGCGGTCAGCTTGATGGATATGAATCGGACTGGAAGTGTGAGAGTGGCGTACATGGAGAAGCCAACAATCATGATACAGAGCAGAGTAATGATGAAGGGGCTTCGCTTTCCAACACGATCCGAAACGTATGCCACGACAACGGCGAGAATAGCAGCTGTGATGTAGATAGGGATTGTCATGAGCTGGGCCTTGTTCGACGTGTATCCCAAATTCTTTATGATGGTAGGAAGAAACAAGCTGATTCCATACAGGGGACAAACGATCTAGCCAAATGTCAGAACTGTGTTAGACGAGAAGAGGACTTGTTTACTCACGCCCCAATAAACCACGATACTGACCCAAATCTGCCAGTCTTTAAAGGCACTCCAGACATACTTCCATTGGAACTCTTCGGCCTGTGCAACTTGCACCTGGTCTGTGTCAAGTTTACCTGCTTGTGCCTGATACTTCAGACGGAGTACCACAAAGGCTCGCTCTTCTTCAGTGAGGAACGTAGCCGTCTCTGGGAAATCTTGTAGGATAAAAAAGGCCAGCACCGCTGCCACCACTGTCGCAATTCCTTCAAGGATAAAGATCCAGCGCCAGCCCTCCAGCCCAGCAGTTCCATCCATCTTAGCAATAGCAAAGGCCAATAGGCCACTGAAAGCACCGGCGATTGAGGCTGCGGAGAAGAACAGCGCTTGGCGAAACTGGATCTCATGTCGACAATACCACATGGTTAAATAGTACTGAATGATTTATTAGCCGAGGAAGAATCTGAAGACAAATTTAGGGAGACATACAGCAACACCTGGAAACAGACCCGCCTCGGTGACGCCTAAGAAGATGCGCGCGATGAGAAGGCCGTGATAGTTTCGTACGATGCCCATTAGGGTCATAACCGTGCCCCAAGCAACCATGATTGTGGGAAGCCAGACACTGGGGCGGAGCCTCTTGAGAAGTAGATTCGAGGGTACCTCAAAAGCTGCATATGTGAAGAAGAAAACAGTGAGACACCAGTTGTACTGATCGGGCGACAGGTTGAGATCCTCTTGGAGGCCCTCAATTTTCGCATTGCCAATGTTTCCTCCTGTACAAGAATAGCGTTAGCATGATATTCGTCATGAATCTTTTCGTCGCACCTACGGTCTAAGAAAGAGAGAAGATAGAGGATCGCAAGCATGGGGATCAACCGAAGATCCATCTATGTCACTTTGTTAGTTATATAGACTGTGTGAGACTACTGCAAACATACTTTGCGAAGGATCTTCTTCTCATCCAGATGAGAAAATGACTCTAGAGTAGCGCTCGAAACTCCCCTGATGCCATTGGCACCGTCAATCTCTACTTTCCCGCTTCGAACAGATGTATTGGCCATCTCTGCCTCCACCACTTTAGCTTTCTCAGTGAAAGAACTGTAGAGAGCCATGATGTTGAGAGAAGATGACACTACTCCTCGGGAGCAATGGTTGAAGAACGATGTTGGTGTGCCTTAGAAGAAGGTTGAATTGATGCGCTTTGATAACGAAATGTAGGGACCATCAGGATGTTGAAATATGCTTGTTTCCACGTCATATATGTTCCTACAGTCTTGACCTTTGCGGATAACAAGCCATTCTAGTTTATTAGACTTCTTCGGTGAAGACTGTGGGTGGCTTGCCGAACGGGCGACCCATAGGGGTGCATTTGGATAAATCATGAGGTGATCAGCTGGGGAAACAGGGCACAGCATCTGGGGGGAATCGCCCTTAGCGTCTCCCCCGCACTTTGTTGGAACGAACTATTGTCTGCAAGGGGAAGCTTTGTGGGTGTGTGTGAGATGTTGAATTGAGCTTAAAATGGCGGTAATAAAAGCGGTAACAAAATGGTTATCGGATCCGACATATTGTAAGGTGAGTTGAGCTCCTGGCGCTGACGACCTACGGATACTCGAGTCATGCATGATGGGCGTGACATTGGCAGTGATTCTCGTTTGACGCCACAGTTCTGGTCGGTTCCGATAATCCACATTAGCATCTATTAAGTCTTCGAGTGATTGGCCGGGAGAGAGTGATCCGATTCGGCTACATCGTGTTGCCACTTTCATTCATAAGCAGTGACATACTTTTCAACGGGAGATAGTAGCTGCTACATGTAGCATGAGTCTCTGTTCCTGCGCATTCATTTTTGCCGATAGCGCCACATTTCCATTTCTTGATCCATACCACGTATCTCCCCTTCTTCATAGCTAGCGTTTACCCCGCATTCTGAGCGTCGAAGGTCTGGGGTAGTAAAAGAACGGAGATATGGATCTAGCAAAGTTTTCTAGAGTACTTTCCTTTTTTCTTCTCCTTTCAGGACAAGTAATCCCGATATAGCACACTCAGACACTTGTTGGATCTCATTATTATCTATCGGATCCGATCCTTGAGTAACGCGTTGTGACTCTGCAAGTATCGGGTGCTTCCAGACGCCCACTTGAACCCATTGTCAGACCATGAGAGACCGCATCGTTACACGCCGTACCCAATTTTCTAGTTGTGACGAATGCCGCAGATCGCGGGTCGCATGCGATGCGCAGAACCGACGCAGTGTTGCTGATATACCATCTGCTCCCTGTACCCGCTGCTTGAATCGGAATCGAGCCTGCACATTCAAAGTTAGACCCAAGAACAAATTTCTAAGATTCAGCGAACCTAACCATCATGTACAGTGGATCCAAGATGCCAAAGAGGGATCTTCTACTAGACATACAACTATTTCCTCGAAATCGCAAGGTCGATATAAGCGAACCTCCCACCTTCTCATCGACCAAGTATCAGCAGAAGAGCCAACTAATGCATCTTCGCCGGAGGTTAATCCCATCAACAGTCATGATTTTTGGCAGAGTCCACTCAGGCCTACGCCATACTCACAGCTTGAGTCTTCAGAGCAAGCTTTGTCGGAGCTTGTATCTCCCCTCTCAGACGCTGAGACGCATCCACTGAGCAACTCTCATTCTGAATGGCTTCACACTCTGTATAGACAAAATTTTGAGGTCGTTTTTGGGTCTTGGATGGGCCGGTACTGCTGCCCTTTCCTGTAAGTGTGGGCTACAGCCCTGCCTCTCCCGTGTATCTCTAGCTTACTGTGATAGATTTGGACAAGATGACCTCGCCGAACGGTACATTAGCATATCAGATTTGTGTCGTCACCTCGACAGATACATGGCTGAGACTTCTAAAGGGAATCAAAGCTCCGGCCAGGCACAGTGGATTCGGCAGGACGAGAAACGAGACGTTTCAATTGAACAATCGTTGTGCAATAGCATTGCTGCTTTCGCCGCAAGATGGCTACCAATCACCCCTTCAGATGATTTAGTCGGCATCGATAACCTGCACCAAATACAGACCATGTGGCGACAGGCTCGAAGGGACATGCTGAGAATTATCAATCGCCCCTCGTATCGATCGATGCTGTCCCTTTTTCTCTTTGCTTTGACTCCCATCCCGATGGGTATTTCGGAAGACGAGGAGATGGATGGTGTCTCTGGACAAGTTTGCATCCACGCGGCTTTGCAACAAGTCCAGTCTCTTCGGGCCCGGCAAAGAAACCTACAGTTCAGTGGCTCAAAAGTGTTTCCGTCGTTGAGTTCGGCATCTATATGTGCCACTCCAGAAGCTGCCGATACTTCTAGTTTTATCAACGCGGAAAACATTGCATACTGGGCAGCAATCACATTTGACACATCCGCATCTCTCACCCTCAATTGCAGACCACTTCTCTCATCAGGGCTCTTTGGCTTTGAGTCCGAATTTACGTGGAAATTGGTTCGGACTTGCTTGAATGTGTTTAATGAATCTTCAAAGAGTTGGCGCCTAGGCAGTGCTGAGATGACAGATGAAAGAGCCAACGAGATTATCGCAGCTGCCGCCTGCTGGAAGCTGTTGACTTGGAAGCTGGCTGCCAATCTCAAAGAAGCTCTTCGGGATGGCCACGATGAGCATGAGGTTCGAAAGGCCCTTTCCTATGTTAGCAGTTCCATTAAGGAGTTTGATACTACATTCCGTCCTTTTCTTGATGAATGCTACAAGCGTATGCAGTTCCTTGGTCAGCAAACAAAGCTTCGTTGGTGTGAGTATGCTCGACACATCCATAACAGTTCCTTTTGGCTAACCTCAGCTTAACCAGTCTCTTTGATGCTTCATTATTCTTTGAGCATCCTGATGGTGCTGGATACGATAGAAGTCGTAGATCGGTACGACTTGCTTGTTGATCTTAAAGATGCTAGTGTGGAAGCAGAAAACACTGTCATAAATGCACTGGCATTTGGTCTTCATAATACCATTACGTTGAGACGAGACATCGATTCTCCTTTACCAGGTCTACCTAGCGGAGGCGGAACAACTCGTAGTATGACATTTACTGCTCCCCTTATCGCCATCGATCCTTATCCACATCATGTGGTGGCGTGTGTGCAACTCATGCGCAAAGCCATCGACCGAGACTATAGGGATAAAAAAATCACACAGGAATCATATGACAGCTTAAGCTCAACTTTAGAATCAGCGTTGAAGCATCTTCCCCAGAGCTCAAAGTCAGTCCAAGCATCTCGATAGATGTTTTCTTCAGCAGCGCCAGATGACAAGAAACTCGAAGATACGCACATTTCGTACAAGAGGCTACCCTCCCATCCACATGGCCAATGGAATGGCTGTGAGATTGAGGACTAAGCGTATTCTAATTATTAATACAGTGAACAAATGACCACAAAAGAATAGCTCAGTTTCAATATCCGAGATTTGCATCTGAAGTCATATCTGACGTGATGTATTTAAGAAATTGGGTTGTAGCTGACCAGTCTCCTTTCAGCCGTGCGTTGATCCCCATCCCAAGCCATATCATTGTTCAGAATTTCTCAGTCAGCAACCCTAAGCTCTCACCTACGATGTAGGGTGCGAGGCTTACAATAGCCATAAATCTGACGATAAGCATCTACTTTGCTCTCATAAGGATGGCATTGTACCTCTCCCTAAGAAAAATATTTTGCGTCTCGGGTGCAGAGGCCGAATCCTAAGCGATACTCGTAGGTTGAGGAGGATACAGGCCACCGTGGGGAGATTTTGCGCCAAGTTTACCCTTTTCAAGATATTCACGACGCAAGAAGTCCACAGTATAAGTTGGAGACAGCTGGCGCTCCTTAATGTAGTGATCCTCTATAAGGGCAACAGTGTCCAAACCAACGGCTTTTCATATGTCAGTGAAAATATTCAAGCCGAAGGAGAAAATACTAACCGTCCATAAATTTACAAGGCCCTCCCCAACTTCTCGTTAATTCTATGAAGAGAGTGTCGATTTCCTCTGGCGTTGACACTCCTTCGGCGAGAATGGACAACGTCTCCCTTTTTATCGCCGCCCAGAGTCTGTTGAAAATGAATCCTGTGCATTCTTTTTTTGCAAAGAAAGGCTTAGAACCGACTTCTCTCTGTCTATTCATTAGGAAAGGAAAGATGTCTGGATCTGTGTAACCATCCGTCATCAGCTCCACGACCATGTTTTCGGGAGGCATGTAGTAATGCGTATTCAGGACTCGCGATTTTGTTGTGTCTTTGACTTTTCCAAGCATCTCAGAGGACTTGTATGATGATGAATTGCTGGCTAAAATGGCATCCTTGGGAGCATGGATTTCGAGTTCCGAGAAAGTGTCTATTTTTATTTGGATTTTCTCGGGGACTGCCTCGATGACAAGCCAGGCGGTTTGGACAGCCATGTCAAGATCTTGGAATATTCTGACGGTTCCAGCGGTTGTCTTTCCGGCAGCAGGGTACCTTTCAGCATTCTCTTTGATGTAGTTGAGACAAGACTCATGCTGTTTTTGATCTGGCTCCCGAATTTGGACGTCATATCCACCAGATGCCCAAGTACAAGCTGGAATATTAGCTTAAAGGATATCTGAAGTCTCGCAGAGTTACAAACCAATGCGTCTCCCCAATACACCACCTCCTAGGACGGCAACTGGACGGTGAGAATAATTCTCTGGTAACATGTTCGTTGGTGTGATACGAAGAGACACGATGGGTCAAGAGATATGCTTAGTAGGCAGTAATTACAAGGATGGAATCGATTATCTGAATATAGAAGAGAAATTCGAGAAACTAGCAGAAAATATATATAGGCAAGGGCCGGGCTTGAGAGAAGAATCCGGTGGTCTCCGGAGAGTTGCACAAACCTGCAAGCAGGGACATTCAAATCGGGACTTTACCTCCTCAACCCCGGCGAGGCACGCGGACTGTGGGCCACCCTTAGCGTGGTAACGACGGTCAGGTACAGATCTTCTGGTCTGTGGGGGAAGCGTGGCAAACAAACCTACTGAAGCAAAAGTTCTTACATGCTATGGAAACTAGGCCTAAGCCTCTACCCAGATTTGGACTCTGGGATGAACCTTAACCAACCTTGAGGTCGATGCATTTTTCAAAATATGCGGATTGGGGGCCATGTTCGATTACCTACCTATTAATCCATCGGTTATTTAAGTCCAACGACCTTAGAAACACTAGTAAATAACAGGTGCGCACAGACTATTTAGACTAGAATAACCGTGGACTAGAATAACTACTATAGTTGGCTAGATTATAACCCGAGTGGAACCTGTTAGCTAAACCTAAGTAAAGTTTTATAACTCTGGCATTTCTATTATATAAATAAAGAAAAAAGCTTAAGCTTTTTAATCTATAGATTAAGAACTAAAATAGTTTATTATTAGTGGCTAGTTTAATTTATAAATTAAAAAAACAGCTGCGCTTTCTTTACTCTAAAATACTAATAGAAACAGGCTGCGTTTCTTTATCTATAGATTAAAAAAGCAGGCTTACTTCTATAGCCTAAACTAAAATAACCTAGACTAAAATAACCTAGACTTAAATAACTATTATAATTAACTAGATCTAAACCTAAGTAAGGATTATCAGCTGCTTTTAATTAAGTTAAGCTATATTATAATATAGTAATAAAAGGGCAGCTATTACTATATAAATATAATAGTTAATTACTTAATAAAAAAAAAAGTTTTATTATTATTATTTATCCTTAAGTATTAGCTATAAATATATTTAATTAAATTAAGTATATTTAACTATATAAGCTATATAGCTTATTAATTTATTTATAGTATTATACTACTATTTAACTATTATTAAAAATAATTATATTATACTTTTAAAAATAGTATAAGCTTATAAAATTTATACTAAAAAGTATTATTAATTTTTATTTTTTTATAAAAACTAATATTACTATAAATAACCCTTAATCTACTAAGTTATTAAATAACTATAGCTTATTTATTAGCTATTTACTAATACTTTAAGGCTATAATTATAAAGAATACTATTTTTTTATTATTAATAAAAAAAATATAAGTATATATAAAAGTAATAGTAATTATTAATTTAAGAATAGTAAAAAAGATTAGAAAATTATTATATTATAAATATTCTTATGGAAATAGTATACTAAGTATTAGATTATAAATATAAGTAATTAGCAGGGTAGTATAATAAGCAGTAAGTATATCTAAGGCTTATATAATATAAAGGAAGGGGATATTTATAATAATAGTAGTAATAATAATATTAAGGCATTAGCTAAAATAGCTAAGGTTTATAAATAAGGTATTATAAAGCTTAAGGTAAAGTAGTAATAGTTAATTAAAATATTAGGCGGGGTAAATACTAAGTTAAATTAAGTTAAGTTTATAAAGCTAGCTTATTATTTATAAAAAAAAAACTAAAAAATACTTTACTAAGTAAGCTTACTGCTAGCCTTAAAGGTAGCTAAGTAGTAATTATATTACTAAGAGATAATTAAAGTAAACTAATAACTATAGTACCTTAGGGCAAGCTTTAATTAAGTTCTTTATAAATATATTTAGCGGATTAAGTAAGTACTAGATAAAATACTTAAGTAGCTAGCTAGTATTAACTTAATAAAGCTATTTAATAAGCTATTTAAGAAGAACTAAAAGGTTATAATAATAAAGAGGTATAATTTATATTAGCAGTAATATTTTTACTATTATATTAAGGTCTAGCTACTAGGGCGCGCTAAGGCTAAAAGTAAGTATAATATTTAGTTTACTAACTTATAATAGGCAGAGCTTAAGGAGGTTATATAATATTTTAATACTTTTATAACCGCTTTTAAAAATAACAGGCTAAAAAACTAGGATAAAAACAATAGCGATAATAATAATAATAATAAGTATAATAACCTAAAGTAGAATATACTTAATTTAATTATTTTTTAATACTATATTAGCTTAATTAAGTAAAAGCTAGGCAGAGAGCAGTATTACAACCTGCTTTTATACTTTATAACTATACTTAGTATTAACTAATTATATAAAATATAAATTTTATTATACTTATATACCTACTTTCTTACTAGTTTTTTATAATATAAATATATTTTAATATTAAAATACTTTTTTAAAGGTAATAATAATAGTAAAATAAATAAATCTAATAAATTAAGTAAGTTAAATAAAGGCTTAAGTAGTAGTAAGGCTAGGCTTAATATTATTAATTACTTCTAAAAGAAATATTATTAATAGCTTATAAATAGCTTATATATACTATTTAGTATAATTATTTAGTAAATAATATATAATAAGGGCTATTAGTAATAAAAAAATAAAATAGCTTATTTAGTATAAAAAAGTAATAGGCTAATATTTAATTATTAAGGGGAGTAGATTAAGGTAAGCGGCTTTTAGTATATTATATAAGCTACTGCTGCTAATACTAAGTTATTAATAAATAAGCTTATATTTAATTAATAAAGTTAAATAAAGAAAATAATTTAGCTTAGGGATATTACTAATAGCTTAATATATAAGGGCCTAGGTAAGTTATTTATTATAAACTAGAAAAATATATAGCTTAAGCTAGGGTTTAGGTAAATAATAAAGGCTATTAGTAAAATATTTTAAAAAAGGGTTAGGGGTAATAATAAAAGTATAAAGTATAAATACTACTAGTAAAGGGTAAAAGACTTTATTATATTACTTAAGTAATTTAAGGTAAGCTTTATTAAGGTAATATATATTTAAAAAGAATAACTAAGGCGTAGGCTAAAGATAATAATACTTAAGTACTATAATATAAATAAACTATAAAAAAATATTTTTATATTTAATAAGTAAGTAATATTAGTAATAAATTATAATAAAAGTAAAAAATTAATAAACTAAGGCTATAGGGTAGTGCGCTTTTTACTAAAATATTTAAGCTAGGTTATAGTAATATATATTATATAACTACTACTATTTAAGAAAGTAATATATAAGCTATTTAGTATTTATAAGCTATTTAAGAAGCTTAGCCTATAGCTTTAGAAAATAGTTAAGTATAAACTTTAGAATATAAAGTATTTTAATAAGTACTTAAGTTTACTTACTAATATATATTTTAGTATTAAGCTTAAAGTATTAAACTATTAATATATAGTTATTAAGCTTAAGCACTAAATTAAGGGTTTAGTAATTTACTAGCTTAAGCTAGATAGAGTTAAGGCAGCGGGGGATAGTAATAATAATAGCTAATTTAACCTATTAATAAGTAAGTTATATAAGTAGTAGTAAATAAAATATATCTAAGATCTATAGGTAATATATAGTAGTTTTATAATATATAACTATTATATATTAAATATTTTTTACTTAAATTAGCTATAGCTAAAGATAGTATTAAATTTTTAAAAAATTAATAAGCTTTAGTATAAATTTCTTAAGTATATAAATAAAGACTTTAGGTAAAAATAAAGGCTTATTAATAATAATAAAGGGCTATAGTAGTAGCTAGTTAAGTAAGCCTGCTTATAGTAATTAATATAAAGTAATAATAATACTTTTTAAGAAATTTTATATTAAATAAGGTAAATAAGGTAAATACTATAGTTACTATAGTTACTACTAAGAAAAGTAATTAGTTATTATTAATAGTAGGCTAAGTTAAAAAAAGTTACTACTAGGGTAGTTAATATAAAAAAGGTAATAAGAAAAGTAATAAGCTTAAAGAAAATTAAGGCTAAGTTAGGGAGAATACTTAAGAAAAGTATAGCTTAGAAATTTAATAAATAATATAAGGGTATATATTAGATTATAAACTTATATAATAATAATATATAAAATAATATATTAATACTAATACTTTTAATTAATAATAGTAAAAGTATTTTCTTTTTTTTACTATTTTTTTTTAAAAAGAAGGCTAGGCTTAGTAAATAAATAAATATTATAGTAGTTTTATTTATTATATTAGTAAATAACTTAATAGCCTAGGGTTAGGATTTTAGAGTAGATTATATATATTAGTATAATAATATTAATAAAACCTATAATAAGTAATAGTAAAATATAAGCTTAGTAATAGTAAACGTAAATATTATTATTAATAAAGGGTTTATAATATATATTAAGAGTATTTAAGCTAGAGGGCTACTAAGAATTATTTTCTTTAATAAATATTATATAATTATTATTAATATAAGCTATTAAAAATAACTAAGCTTACTTATAAGTTTATATTAGTATAAATATTTAATAATAATATTAATAATAATACTACTAGTATTAATAAAGGGCTAGTTTTATAAGTGTATATTAATATAAGAGATTACTATTATTTAAGCTTAAATAGTAAGGCTAAATATTTACTATAGGGTCTAAAGTATAAAGGCAGTAGGTAAAAGTAGGGCTATAGTTATAAATAGTATTATAAAGGAAATAATATAAATAAAAATAAAAATAATAAGTAAGTAAAAGAAAGTTATATACTACTACTTAATTAATAAGTATAAGGTATTAGTAGTATATATTAGCTATAGATATTATTATAGTAAAATAGTAAGTAGTGTATAAGCTAAAGTACTTTAGGTATAGTTTAATAAAGAGAATAAGTAGTATTAGATTATAGTAATAATAGGCTTAGGGATAGAAGTAAATATTAAAGGAATTATTAAGGTGATTTATATATAATAACTATATAA